TCAAGGATATTACTTAAAATACATAGCAAATTCATCAGTAATTATCTTGTGATGTGCATCTTATGAAATTAAGACAGGGTAGCTTTCTAACAATGCCAGTCTGTAGAATATGACAAAGAAACTATATTCTCAGTTCAAGAAGTTATTTACTTTTTTTCCCTTTTAAAATATATAAGTTTCTATGTGAAATTGAAAGTAAGGATCTTGGACTAGTTGTTTTCTGTATTTCTGACAGCCTTTCACAAATGACAGATCCATTTTGAAGATCTCAGATTTGGGAAAGCATCAACCTAGCTTTTTATATATTCTCTATATAACATTGAGGAAATTAATTGCTCTATCTGCTCTTCAATTTAACATTTGTGTAAAGAGGACAATAGTTCCACTCCATAGGACTTATGAAAATAGAAATCACTTGTCTCCTACATGTTCTGTGATTATTCTGGTGTGATAGAAAATATTATATTTACGTACCATTGCTATTTGGTCTGCTCTTAGATTGCTTTATTTATTTAGTAGTCTGTATGTTTGTCATACTTGCAGTACAGTTACTATTAACCATCAACAAATTCTGCACATAAACATGCAGAAGTACTTAAAATTCTATCTTTGTAGATGTTCTGTTTTCAAACATGTTCAAGAATATGTTATTTACATAAAAATGCTACTATTCAGAAGATACTTTAGAAGTTATATAAAATGCTGTCAAGCCTCAATTTTAACACATTAACAGACTACAGTTTAAGAGTTGCAAACAGGATTTTCACCGTGCTTAATGTGAATCAGTTTATTGGTTTTTCTATAGATAATTTTATATATATATATAATTTTATATGTATTTATAAAAATAGCATATATAAAATTTATATATGATTCAATGATTCTATGATTCTTTGATTTAGGCATATATATAAAATGTATATATTTATATACATATATATATATTTAAAAATCTCTATTGGTGACCAAACAGAAAATAGAAATTCTTATTCTGCAGAGAATAGCATGTAACTAACAGCTCCAAACTGGCAACAACAACTTTTGTCCATACTCACTACCTGCCTATGCAAAGGATTAAAAAATAGGGAGACAGAAAGGTTAAGCTTTCTTGCCCTTGTTTACAACCTTAATCCAGAGACAAGGCATCAGTTCATACATGGTTTTTCTTTTCCTGTGTCTAAGGGAACTGTTAGTTCAGTGTGTCTCTGAAGCATGATATCTTTACACACATAAATGGAACAATTATAAAAGATTCTAAGATTAAGAGACAAATCATAATCAATTTTACGTTATGATCACACAGGACTTCAGGAAAGCTGCGAAAATACAGCAAAAATGCAAAAAGTATCTGTACGTACCAGTAACTCCTCTCCTCCCCAGAAAACTCCCTTCCCCAGGCTCAACAATTCTAGTCCCTTCAGTATGTCCTTGGATGCTTTGTCCTCCATCCCCAGGCTATGCTGGTCAGGACTATCTCAAGTACATCAATGTCTGTCTCATACTGGAGTGTCCAAAGCTGTGCACAGCATGCCAGTATTGAGACAGTACTGAGTACCTTCAGTGAGTATTTTCATTGAGAACATCAGTGCAGGATCACTTCCCCACACCTGCTGGCTGTACCCTTGCTACTGCAAAGACGTGGGAATACTGTGCCTGGGTGTACTGCTGCCTTGGGACCAGATAAGTTGGTAAGCTCCCAGAGATCCCTGGGCCATAACTGCAGAGCTGCTCCACAGCTGTTACCTCCCAGATATATGACTTTGCATTCACCTTCCTGGGGCTCCTGTCTGATAATTTCTCTAAGCAGCAGTTCTGAAGCTAGCAGATTGACTGCTCCACAAACGTTTTGCATCATCAGCAAGCAAGATGAGACTGAAATATGTCCTATCATTCAGGCCATTAACAAAGAATGCTAAACACTATTTGTTCTTAGAATCACAGAATCATAGAATGGTTAAGGTTGGAAAGGACCTTAAGATCATCTAGTTCCAACCCCCCTGCCATGGGCAGGGACACCTTACGCTAAATCATATCACCCAAGGCCTCGTCCAGCGTGGTCTTGAATGCTGCCAGGGAAGGAGCATTCACAACCTCCCTGGGCAACCCATTCCAGTGCCTCACCACCCTAACAGGAAAGAATTTCCTTCTTATATCCAGTCTAAACTTCCTCTGTTTAAATTTCAACCCGTTACCCCTTGTCCTTTCACTACACTCACATTATAGACTCTGCTATAATGTGAGGAAAAAGCAAAACTGACAAGTTCACAAGGACTCACTTGTCCCTTCTCAGCATCCCTATAGGCCCCCTTCAGATACTGGAAGGCTGCTATGAGGTTTCCATGCAGCCTTCTCTTCTCCAGGCTGAACAGCCCCAACTTCCTCAGCCTGTCTTCATACGGGAGGTGCTTCAGTCCTCTTATCATCCTCGTGGCCCTTCTCTGGACTTGTTCCAACAGTTCCATGTCCTTTTTATGTTTAGGACACCAGAACTGCATACAGTACTCCAGGTGAGGTCTCACAAGAGCGAATAAAGGGGCAGGATCACCTCCTTTGACCTGCTGGTCACACTCCTTTTGATGTAGCCAAGGATACAGTTGGCTTTCTGGGCTGCAAGCGCACACTGCCGACCCATGTTCATTTTCTCATCAACCAACACCCCCAAGTCCTTCTTGCAGGGTTGCTCTGAATCTCTTCTCTGCCCAACCTGTAGCTGTGCATGGGATTGCTCCGACCCAGGTGTAGGACCTTGCACTTGGCATGGTTAAACTTCATGAGGTTGGCATCAGCCCACCTCACAAGCGTGTTGAGGTCCCTCTGGATGGCATTCCTTCCCTCCAGTGTATCAACCGAACCACACAGCTTGGTGTCATTGGCATACTTCCTGAAGGCGCACTCAATCCCACTGTCCATGTCAGCAACGAAGATGTTAAACAAGACCAGTCCCAACACCGATCCCTGAGGGACACCAGTTGTTACTGGTCTCCAGCCAGACACTGAGCCATTGAGCCCAATCCTTTGCATGCGGCCATCCATCCAGTTCTTTATCCACCAAGTGGTCCATCCATCAAATTGATGTCTCTCCTATTTAGAGACAAGGATGTCGTGTGGGACAGTGTGGAACGCTTTGCACAAGTCCAGGTAGATGAGATCAACTGCTCTACCCCTGTCCATCAGTTCTGTAGCCCCATCATAGAAGGTCACCAAATTGGTCAGGCAGGATTTCCCCTTAGTGAAGCCATGCTGGCTGTCACCAAGCACTTTGTTGATTTTCATGTGCCTTAGAATGCCTTCCAGGAGAATCTGCTCCAAGATTTTTCCAGGCACAGAGGTGAGACTGACTGGTCTGTAACTCCCTGGGTCATCCATTTTCCCCTTCTTGAAAATGGGGGTTATATTTCCCATTTTCCAGTCATCAGTAACTTCACCTGACTGCCATGATCCCCACAGTAATGTCTCCCATAGCTATATTCCCGTTAACCCTGACCCACAAACTCTCTGTGGACTGCTCACCTGTCCCCAGGCAGAGTTCCATACTCTCCAGCCTATCCCTAACATAAAGGGCAACCCCCCCTCCCCGCCTGCCAGGCCTGTCTTTCCTAAAGCCTGTAACCTTCCATTCCAACACTCCAGTCATAGGAGCCATCCCACCATGTTTGTGTGATGCCTATTATATCATACCCCGTAGACGTGCACACATCTCTGATTCCTCGTTTGTTCCCCATGCTACGGGCATTTGTAGAGAGGCATCTGAGCTGAGCTCCAGGTGAAGCTGGCTCATTGGCTGGAGCGGCTGGGATATCTCTGCATTGCTCCAAACATTTATTATAGGTGCTGTCAACTGACGGGGTGTGTTAGAATGGAATGATGCCCCCCCTCCCCCAACACATCTAGTTTAAAGCCTCCTTGACCAGTCTGGCAAGCCACCTACCAAAACTGCTCTTTCCCTTCTCTATCAGACCAGCTCCACCAGCCCCCACTAGACCTGGCCTACAGACTTGGGTCCCGTGTTCAAGACACCCAAACCCCTGACTATGACACCACCCTTTTGACCATTTATTAACCTGGCTAATCCTCCTTCTTGTATTGATAACTGAAAGGAATTACTGCTTTCTGGTCACTAGATGGGCTTTGTATTATGGACCACAACACAGTAAGACCAGCAATCCATGCCATTTTCAACCTGCAATGTTGACTGCTTACCTGGTTCATGTATCACCAACCTAACAACAAAGAAACGATGAAAGCTGCATCAAAGGTCTTTCTGAAGTCAGGGTGATCAGGAATATGCACCTTTTCCTGTCTACAGTCTAAGGTTGTAATTTTTGTTAGGCATTATTTGCATGGAAGTGGATTTTCCAATACTTACTAAATATTGCATCTATGATCTAGAGCAACATCTGTGCTACACTTAATAGCAGCTGTTAAAAAGATAACATGCTACTTACCCATCTTACATTGTGATATTACTAAATACAGAAATATTGTGATATTTCTAAATATATAATTTCACTTTGAATTAAGAAATAAGTAAAATAAAACTACTATAAGTGACTACAACCTCAAAAGTATGTGCACACCATTCACATGCCACATCATAATGCTGGCTTTTTTCATCCCTATGTTTATTAACTTTGATAACTTCATATAATCTTTTCCTACTTCAGGAATACTGGTTGTCTGATATGCCACATAAATACACCTCTTGGATGAAAAATCGTTTCTCAGTTTGAAAACTGCTAAAAAAGTGTAAATCGACTAAACATTTTGAATATGTCCACTGATGCTGACTCTCTCATTTAACTTGCTGGCAAAAGATTCTTCCTTCTTCAGACATTACTGGGTTATTTCATTAGCTTAGCACATTGTACCAAACAGTGCTCAGCACTGTTGAGAAGAAGCTTGAAACTGCTTGTATGCCACTAGCTTAGATACAGCTTCTTTGATCTTCGTATGAGTTTGTGACTCAACTTTATCAGCATTTCTAATTATCAGTAAAGCAATTGGTGATCCAAGACTAACACCGCCACTGAGAGAAATCTGGCTCCTCCATCAGACTGTCTCTATGCAAGTAGCTCTTAAAAGAAACATTTTTAGTGATTTTTCAAACTGTCAAGTACTGTGATAATGTGAGCTAATAGTTTATTTTGAGGTGATGTTAGCACGTTTTCAGAGATTCAATCTATTTTTTTTTTTTTTTTACGATATCATATCTTGCCTGTCTCTCTGATACAGGAACATCTTCTCTTGATAATCCACTCTCAGCACCTTACTTTTTTTCTTCTTCTCTTTCTCCCTTTCTCCCTTTTCTCCCTTTGCCAGGCTAGTATCCTCCAGGTTTCTTAGTGGTTGTTCATAGAAGAAAATAGACTCTGCTACAATGTGAGGAAAAAGCAAATCTGACAAACTGAAAACCATCCTGCCTTTGTCTTCTCCAAGATGTCCTACTAGCTACAGAAAAGAAACATTTTTTGACATTTAAAATGAAATACCAGGGAAATAAAATATCCAAAGTTGAACTGAGATACTGGAGTGTATGAATAATAAAAATCTAAGACACCCAGGATGAGGAGTGTGCTTTAATGCAGCTGGTGCTTTCTACATATTTCCTCTAAGAAGTTATCTGTGTATTTATTTTTTTTTATGTGTGTGTGTAATTTTTGTGCTTTGTGGCTTTAGTGCTGCTGTCACATTAGCTCCTAGCACACAAAGGATAACTTGTGGGACTCCCTCAGAGACCATCTTTGAATAACCAAGGCTTCTGACTCTGTCCTTCATCCACAATTGTTTCTGATGTTTTAGTAACAGAATAATAATAACATACTAGCTTGGAAGGAATATCAAGGATCATCTTGTCCAACCTTTCTTGGCAAACCATAAAATCATAGAATCACAGAATGACCTAGACTAGATGTCCTAGCATCCTGTCCAGCTAAATCTTAAAAGTACCCTATGTTGGAAAGCCCACCACTCCCCTGTGGAGATTACTCCAACGGCTGATTGCTCTCATTCTGAAAAATTTTCCTCTTGTGCTCAATCAGAAACTCCCCAGGAATAATTTGTACCCAGTACTTCTCATCTTCTCCATGGAACTCCTTCTAAAAATGGGAGACTCCATCTTCTTTGTTGCCACCCTTTAAATACTCTAACATGGTGATAAGGTCTCTCCTGAGCCTTCTTTTCTCAAGGCTGAACAAACACAGGTGTCTCATCCTTTCCTCACATAGCAGGGTTTCCAGTCCTTTGATTACCTTTGTGGACCCTCTCTGGACTCTCTCCAGCTGTTCACATATTTTTTTGCAGAGTAGGGACCAAAACTAAACAGAATTCTGGGTGTCGCCTGACAAGTGCTGAGTGGAGTGGAATAATGACATCTTTATCTCCACTGGTGAAACCCTTGTTGATGCAACTCAGCGTCCTGTTGCCTTTCTTTGTCACAGCAGCACACTGTACACTTACTTACATTGAGCTGGGACCCTAAGTCCCTTTCCACAGAGCTGTTTCCCAGCTGGGTAGATTCCAGCCTGTGATGCAGTCTTAGACTGTGTTTACCCCCATGCAAGACCTTACATTTTTCTTCCATGAGAAATGCAATAGGAAGGAAGATGCCTTTAATGAGCACCCAAATATTGTTCCTTACTTTTTTTTTTCCCCACCAATTTGTCTTTTAGAGTAAATGTATTACTATTTAACTATGTTTTCTTGATCACTGAGTACATGCAGGTATGTTCATATTTTATATTTGTGTTTTATAAAAATTTTCCATTACTTTAAGTGAATGCTTCCAATTGTCTAGAAAGGAAGAGGAATCAGAATGAATGTCATAAAGTCTGCAAAATAACAGTATAAAGAACTGAAGTTACGTACTGATTTAAAGATGTGTTTAAATGAGAAATTGAATTGCACAACATGGGAAACCAAAGTGCTCTAAACTGTCTCAGAAACCACATTTTTAATTATTTTTTGTTGTTAGAAATCATCAGGCTTTGTAAATTTAGTCTGAAAAGAACCTCTGAATGAGTAAGACTTCACTTACTTGGAGTTGAGGCTGATCAGCTCTTCCACAGCTGGTGCCAACATTCTGTCAGTCAAATTCTTAACTAGGTTGTAAAGGGCAAGGAAAGCAGTTGCTTTTCACTCCCACCTGAAATAAAATATTGTGTCAGTTACTTTTTTTCCACAGTCTTCCAATTGCAGTAGGACATTCATTACATTATCTTTGCCTGTCACATTAAGGGTTCATCAGAATACTCACATAAAGGATGAAATCATAAACTATTACATTCTTTGAATTTCTCCTTGAATGTGTTATACAACATGTCTATAAATAAATGCTCTAAATAATATTTTATTTTGCTATTCAAATTCTTATAAAAATTCTATTAATTTGTAACTGTTAAATAGAACATTTACTCATATAAGGTACGCATTTATAAATGCTAAAGGGAGAAAGTAAAATCAGAATATCTAGCAGTAGAAAATAGAAGTGTATTTGTAGTAGTGCACGTAGGCATTCAAATAATGAAGAGTCACATTTATTTTCATTACAGTACAATTCATTTTTTTACAAATAGCTCCATCTAGTTATGTAGCATAGTCTTCAAAATTATGACAAACTATATTTAAAACAGAAGGTTAATTAAAAAGTCCCTCAAATTTAAACTGCTATCACCTTTGAAAGGTCATAAATGAAAAAAGTCCCAACTGACTAAAAAAGTTACAGATACTACATCCGTCTACAAAAAAGAGGTAAAAAAGATTCAGAAAACTATAGTCCAATTAATTGCACTAGAGTTACTGGGAAAAATTATAGAACAGGTCCTCAAGAAAGCTATGCAAGCAGAAGAAGGTCAAGCAGTGGCAGCATTGCAGCAGGCAGGTGCGTGACAGCAGGCAAGTGCACAGCAGCATGCTGACCATCCAGTAAAAAGCAGCATCATCTGCTTCTCCTCAGCTTCTAGCACTTGGTGGAACCAATGCTGTTATACAGACAGAGCTCCTGTCCAACCAGAGGAAAATCCAGGTTTCCAGCTGTGGGATGTGGAAAGGGATATCCTTGGAGATGGAAAGTGATTGTATGCGAGCTTGTGGGAGTTGTGAACACGCAGATGAACTGTTCTGCTTGCTGTCCAAGCTGTAAGAGGAGGTGGGCAGACTGAGGAGTATTTGAGAGTGTGAAAAGGAGACTGGTCAATGGACCTGCATTTTGAGAGGCCACTATGGAGGCAGGTACAGGATCTGTTTTGTGCCAGGATGAAAGCAGTGTTAAAAGGGATAAAGAAGGGTGGAAGACGATTACAGTACAAACACATAAGAGAAGCCCTTCCTTATCCTCTAAGACACTCTTACAAAATAGGTATGAGGCCCTGGGTAGAGTAGAAGCAGCACATAATGAAATAGAAGGGGAACCTATGCAAGCAGACTTATGTGGATCAGAAAGATCAACCCCTTGCAACAAAACCTCATTAAGACCATTGCCAAAAAGAAACAACAACCAGCTATGGCCATTTCATAAAAAGGACATGGAACCGTTGGAACAAGCCCAGAGGAGGGCCATGAGGATGATCAGGGGACTTGAGCACCTCCCGTATGAAGACAGGCTAGAAAGTCGGGGCTGTTCAGCCTGGAGAAGAGAAGTCTGTGTGAAGACCTCATAGCTACCTTCTGGTATCTGAAAGGGGCCTGTAAGGATGCTGGGGAGGGACTCTTCATTAGGAACTGTAGTGACAGGACAAGGGGTAATGGTTAAAACTTAGGGGAAGTTTAGATTGGATCTAAGGAAGAAGTTCTTTACTGTAAGGGTAGTGAGGCACTGGAATGGGATGCCCAGGGAAGTTATGAATGCTCCATCACTGGTGGTGTTCAGGTCCAGGTTGGACAGAGCCTCAGGTGACATGGTTTAGTGTGAGGTGTCCCTGCCCATGGCAGGGGGGTTGGAACTTGATGATCTTAAGGTCCTTTCCAACCCTAACTATTCTATGATTCTATGATTCTATCTGTGATTCCCTCCTGTGTGAGGAAGAACCCATCTAAAGACCAGACCTTCTTTTCAGGGATGTTTTCTGCCTTCCTGAGGCCCCAAATCAGGGATGTCACCACAAAACTGAAAAGCTTAGTACAACCTTCAGATTACAACCTATTCCTCTTTCATATGGTTACTAATGGTGAAAGGGCTGGAAAGCATGTCCTGTGAGGAACAGCTAAGGACTTTGGAGTTGTCTAGTTTCAAGATAAAGGAGGCTGAGCGGTGTTCTGCAACTTCCTGAGGAGAGGAAGTGAAGAAAGAGGTATTGCTGGATACACTCCTCCTTTGTTTCCAGCAATATGACATGGGAATGATCCAGAAGTGCACCAGCAGAAGTTTAGACTGGACATTAGGAAGCATCTCTTTCCCAAGCGGGTGGTCAAACCCTGGAACAGGCTTTCTAGAGAGGTGGTCAATGCCTCAAGCCTGTGTGTGTTTAAGAGGAATTTGAACAATGTCCTTGATAACATGCTTTAAGTTTTGGTCACTGTCAGGATTTTGCTGCTACAGTTATTTTTCTCCTTCCTAGTAGCTGGGGCAGTGCTGTCTTTTGGCTTTAGTCTGAGAACAATGCTGATAACACACCGATATTTTAGTTGTTGCTAAGAGGTGCTTACTCTGATCAAGGACTTTTGGGTCTCATGCTCCACCAGTGAGGAGGGGCACAAGAAGCTGGAAGGAATCAGAGACAGGACAGCTGGCCCAAACTAGCCAAAGGGGTATTCCATACCACAGCACGTCATGCCCAGTATATAAACTGGGGGGAGTTACCCGGAAGGTCCAGATCACTACTCGGGTTGGGTCAGCAGGTGGTGAGCAATTGTATTGCACATCACTTGTATTTATTGTGAGTCTTTTTCCTTTCCCCTTTCAGTTTTACATTCCCTCCCCTTGGTATTCCCCTCATCATTATTATTAGTTTTATATTATACTTTAGTTACTGCACTGTTCTTCTCTCAACCCATGGGGTTTACATTCTTTCGATTCTCCACCCCATCACACCCAGAGCCAGTGGAAAAGGGAAGGTGAGCCAATGGCTGTGTGGTTCTGAGTTACTGGCTGGACTTAAACCACGACAGTCAGTCCTGAAGTGGTCAGATAGCTGGACTGAGTGAACATGGTAAGTCCCTTCAATTTGAAGTGTTCTGTTCTATACTATTCTGTTCTAGAAAAGCGAACACAGATTTACCAAGTATGAACAGTACTTGGTCAAACTGATTGTTTATCAATATAATAATATATATTCATACATATAAAACTTCTTAAGGACAAATTTAATTCAATAGTCCTAGAGATTTGACCATGAATAGCTATCTAGAACAGAACCATACTAGACATTTTTTTTATTTTTGTGATGTTTTTGAGTTTCAAAACTTTTTTTTTTTTCCAACAGGAAGCATTCACAAATTATCTGAAGACTTTGTCAGAATGCTACCAGTACAGGCTGGGGGCTGACCTGCTGGACAGTAGTGAAGGGTAAAGGGACCTGGGGGTCCTGGTGGATAGGAGGATGACCATAAGCCAACAATGTGCCCTTGTGGCCAAGAAGGCCAATGGCATCCTAGGGTGCATTAGAAAGAGTGTGGTTAGTAGGTCAAGAGAGGTTCTCCTCCCCCTCTACTCTGCCTTGGTGAGGCCGCATCTGGAATATTGTGTCCAGTTCTGGGCCCCACAGCTCAAGAAGGACAGGGAATTGCTTGAAAGAGTCCAGCGCAGAGCTGCAAAGATGAGTAAGGGAATGGAACATCTGTCTTACGAGGAGAGGCTGAGGGAGCTGGGACTCTTTAGCTTGGAGAAGAGGAGACTGAGGGGTGACCTCATCAATGTTTACAAATATGTAAAGGGTGAGTGTCAGGATGATGGAGCTAGGTTTTTTTCAGTGATGTCCAGTGATAGGACAAGGGGCAGTGGGTGTAAACTGGAGCATAGGAGGTTCCATGTGAACATCAGGAAAAATTTCTTTACTGTGAGAGTGACAGATCACTGAAACAGGTTGCCCAGGGGGGTTGTGGAGTCTCCTACGTTGGAGATATTCAAGGCCCGCCTGGACAAGTTCCTGTGTGATGTAATCTAGGTTACCCTGCTCTTGCAGGAGGGTTGGACTAGATGATCTTTTGAGGTCCCTTCCAACCCTTAGGATTCTGTGATTCTGTGATTCTGTGAATGCTAACAATCTTTCCAAAAGAAGAAAACAGGCAAATCTAAGCTTGCTTTCCTGAAACATTTAGACTGGAAAAACAAACAGGTGGAATGGAAGAGAGAATCAAATCTCTCCAAACCCCTTCAACCATAAACTCTCTTTGTTGTTTATGCCCTCAGAAGTTGCATTTTAAAACTAATTAATAGTTTCTTCTCAGAAATTATATTAATGGTAAATTTACAAATTCTAGCCTGGAATTCCCCGAGGCAGAGGAGAACAGGAGACATACGACAATTAACGAAATATTGACTCATTAGAGGCTAAGGGGTAGAAATCTGTTCTCTTTTATTACTTTTAACTTGAAACTGGAAAACAAACTTGTGAGGCAGCAGTGAGATTTTTCTCCCACATGTAGACTGCTCTAGGGCAACAAATGGGGTGCATACTTTCCTTTCCAGTGAAGCAAGTAACACCTTTTATTCATAATCCCTTTTTCTTCTTAAATTCGTAAGTTTTATATCAATGTACTTATCTTTTCCTATACCCTTTTTTTGGCTTCTCCCCCCATTTTGTTTCCTAGAACTCAGTTTCTTTTTCCTTAGTCTCTAACTCTACACTTTTAGCCCAGCAATTTGCTCTTTCTGATAGGGATGTAGTTGGCCCAGAGTCATTTTTGCCTGTATTTTGCACTTGTTATCAGTTGGGAACAGAAGGAAATGTCACTTGGCTCCTGAATGAAAGCAACAGATAAGCATGAAGCTTTGGGCTGTCTGCAACTTCTGTTAGCCACTGCAGGAGCGCTGTGCATTATGGTCTCTCTCTTCTGTTATACATGATGAAATTCCCTGCCAGGAGGTCTATACATTTACATTTTCTTAGAAAATGGGCTGAGAAACCCAGGTGCCAATATGTAGTAGGTTAAGCTTCAACACTGACATTTACATATATGCTTCTGGCCACAATGAATTCCAATTTGTAA